TCTTTCCGCATCTTTCCTTTCTCCAAAAAAAAAAATAAATCCCAAGTCAGAGCAGAACCTTCTCACAAAGCTGACAGTATTTAACTTCTCTTCAAATACTGAATATTGCTCACAAGATACTGACAATAGCTTGTAGAAGTTGGTGAGGCAATACCATTTGATGAGATGATACCCGCTATGCTGCCATCCTGCTTGGAAATTGTTAAACAGCTGTTAATAAAAATAAGAAAATTAATTTTTTTGCAGCTTTTAAGGACAGATCTTTATAAGAGTATAATTCCTATATAGCTTATTATTTTACTAATGCTACCACAAAGTAATTTAACTCAAATACAGCAATGTAATTAACATTCATTAAGGGTAAGTTAGAGCAGCAGACTATTCAAACCTGTAAAGGAAACATTGTACTCTCACCTGTGCTCCTAACTCAAGTATTAAGCAGTACTATTTATCTGCATTTGCTACTTAATGAGCTTCTAAAACACACATGTACTGACAAATCTCAGTCATAACTCACAGCTTACTTAGACATTAGTCCACATCCCAGCTCTGCCACTGATTTGGGACAAGTCATAGGTTACGTAGCCTGTTAAATTTGTTTCATATGTCTGAAAGTGGATCATACTTCTCAATCACTCTGCAGGGATGTTATAAGACTGAATTTGCCCATTTGCAAAGCTTTTTGCAGTCCTTGGCTTACTGAGTGAAACTGGAATGCAGTACACACGTGCCAAATATTCCTACTATCCTACCGCAACTGGGGACAGATTTTTCTTGTTCCAGCTTCTCTAATGTGGGACAACGGGCTGAGTGGGGCACACAGGACAAGGCAGACAAAATGCAAGCAGGAAAGCAAACAGTTACTCCCGTGTTGCAGAAAAGCAAAGCTAAACCTTCCAGTAAAATCAGAGTCTCTGTAAACAAGAGAAGAACATAACCCCTTCTCAAAAGTGTCTTTGACAAGCTGTTGTATTGATAGGTGATTCTGGCAGCCAGCAACTGCAGAATATTAATGAAGCATTGGTAAAAGAACAGTCTGAACAGGTTGATTATGACTGACTGAAGTCTACAGTATATGCTATCAAGATACATTGTTTGTAGTATTTGCTCTTAGTTTGACCTTGTTGCTTGCTTGCTGCTTTTTTCTTTTTTTTCTATTTTTTTCTCCTTTTTCTCTTCCTTTTCCTTCCTCCCTCCTTTTCTCTCTTTCTGTCTTTCATCCACTACTTCTCATTTGCCTAATTAAGTTCAAGTCTGCTGAGATCCATATAATAAAAAATGTTGAATATAAGATGTTTTTAAAGTGTCCCTGTTGCTGTCCTATTATTTGTTACTAGACATATGCAGCTCTTACTACAGTAAGCTATGTTCTTGTTCACTGCTTACATAAATGGGATTTATACCGGGAACTAGAAGGAGCTTAGGAGAAAATCCTTGTACACAGTCTGACTCAGGGTATGGAAAGGCTGAGCAACCTTTCTTTATCTGACAGAGAGAAGGGAGATTGATGGCTTCACTCAGGCCGCACTTCAGTCACTATTCCCTGGCTGCTTCCCTGGGCTGAGGGCATGCAGTGTTCCTCACCCACTGCTTGCCTATAAAAGTAGAGGTATGAGCATTGCTTGCTTTCTAGCTTGAAGCACATGATGGAATTCATATGACTGACTAAAACCACTGCTGGTGACCTTTATTTACTCTAGTGCTGCTTTTTGTTTGTTTGTTTCTTTGTCTGGTACTGTGTCCTTCACATGAACATCGTCACACAAGCCTGTTTTCATGCTTTCTACCATATTTATTTTTAGTCCTTGCAGACCATAATACTCTCTGAGAGCTCTGGAAAGGCATTTTGCTTGGCATTGCTTCATTCCTTCCTTTTCTGCTTCTTCCCTTGTCAACATTTATATCCCCCAATCTAAAACGCTGTTTTGCTTTGATAGCTGATGGATTTTGCACTTGTCTGTGCAAATCTAGGTTTAGGTTAGAGCTAGGTATATGAAAGAGCTAGACTGCTTTAGGAGAAGTTCAGTTTCAGGGATATCGAGTGCAGATTTTACCAGAGAAAGTTGCTTTAGCTCCTGAGATGTTATGGGGTATTCGAGATATTGGATTTAATGTTTCTGATAAAACGAGTATTTTTTTATTTTTCTTTGGTGCAAACACGTATTTAGTAATATTTTTTTTTCCTCTTTTCACCTTTTATTAACTGGAGCTAAAATTGGCTATCATGATCATAAATGAACATCAGGGAAGCTATTATTAACTCTGTGGGATAAACAGGAGGTGTGAGATATGATGATCCAGGGTCTTTGTGACAGCGAAATGTCTACTGCAGGTTAGCACCAGACAGGGCCATGTAGTGGTCTCTGCAACAGTTTGCCTCTAGGCTGGGGCATAGGAGCAGCCAGAGCCCCTTTGCTCGTCTCCTTAATGCCCTCCTAGTGTACTGCAAAGCTTTTGAAGGGAGGAAAACACTGAACAGTCAGAGCCTGTTCTGCTGCCCTAAAGGGGTGGATATAATGGAATCTTACCAAAGCACCGATGCCTTAGTGACATTCAGGAACTTTCGGCAGTCTTCAGACTAATGTGGTGGCAGTGATTTTTCAAAGTGGTTGTGTATTATTTTTAGGAAAAGGAGTGCTTCCTCAATAAATTGATAATCCTTTTCCATTTTTATGGAAGGCAATGCCTTGATGTCGTGTGATATTATTAAATTTTATAATAGAGATAGAAATGTTATCATATAAATATGAAATATGAAAACATATGAAAACAAATATGCTCAAACCTTTGAAGTGTAACAAAACAATAGTTGGGGGTTTTTTTTACGGGTTTTTTTTTTTTGGAAATAACCAAAAGTTTTCTCTGAAGAGCAGAACAACAGCTTTCTGGGACAGATAGCAAACTTGTTTACTGTCACTCAGTTCACAGAAACAGAGTTCTGCTTTTCATGCTAATTTGAGGTTTTGTGCTTTTGAAGGCCATCAGTCATCACTGTGTGTTTTGTAAGTTACTATGGGCTCTCAGATGCTCTTCCTTTTAATGAGTCCTGATTCAGCAAAACAAACTGGTATTTAACTGCTTTGCTAAAGTTAAGTCTCAGCAACCAGAATTGTCCATACTTGTCCAACTTCTAGTGGCAAGCCCATGCAGAAGCAAAGTACATGACATGCATATAAAAAAGTTTATAAGCTCTGTGTACAGAACAATAGATACCTACTATTGCCAGCAGCAAATCTATATTATGTGATGCAGAAGCCAAACTACCTGGGCTTTTGAAACGTTGCATAGGCGCCAGATGTTTTAGTGGTTGATTTAGCTTCCCCACAGAGGTCTGCCAATATCAGGGTGATGTCTAGAATCAGCTTCAGTAAAGTGAAGAGTGAGAAGTACAGTGGATTTCTATCACAGGGCTAGCCTAGTGATAGATAATCTTAAAAGCAACACTTTGCTGGTTTTGTGGAATATATTGCACATGGTACTACACGGTGTTTACCCTGAAAGTACTCAAAGCACTATCCCAAGAGGTTAATATAAGCTGACACAGTTCATTTTTTTTAGTTTTTGTTAAGGTAATCATATCACTCCCACTGGTAATGAAGTTTGCTGTGAGAAATTGGAATATGCTGTAAGTGGCACGGAAGAAATCACATAGAGACTTGCTGGTAATCATAAGCATAACAGCAACTCACACACTGTTATCATCCACAGCTTTTGATACTGGTGTGGCAGGAGACCAATCAGGAGTAATAAGTTGCTGAAGTTCCTAAGGAAGAAAGAGGGAGGAATGAGAAATTTTAGTTCATGCTGTCTGTGTAGGCTGGATTACACAGAAGAAAACACAGTGGACTCCAGCTCCATGTTTAATAATAAAGGGATTTGATAATAGAAAAATCTCAGAATTACAAAATGGATTCTTGCTACTACATGTTTTCTAAAAACATTGTACAGAATGTAAAAAGCTTAAATTTTTAGATACCAGGATTATAATACCATTATTAAATTTATTTCTGGCCGTAGGAGTTTTATGTGGATTACTTGTGATTTCTTGGGCTGCCTGAATGTGTTGGTTGTGCCTCTCATAACTTCTATAAGATATCACTCTGATGGCATCTATTATGGCAAATTCTAAATTAGAGAATAGCTGTGGAAAGTTTGTGAGGTTGTTAGTGAAAGACTTCCTGATGCCTTCTGACATACTGAAACAGAGCAAAAGTAGTACCATCAGGCTGCACCTTGTTCCTGCAAGTAATATCAACATCACTAAATGAAGATGAAAATTTTTAAAATAGGAGTACAATATGGGATTATAAGATTTTGTTTTATTTTATGGATACACTGGGAATTTAAAATCTCTGCTTAAAACCCACCTTTTAGATGTTCTTATTTGATAAGCAGGAGATACCAACAAGGTTAAAAAGTGGATAATGACAGCACGACAAAAAAATGTGTAATGAATTTACTCCTTGCTGTTATTGATGATGATTTTTCTGAGGTACCAGTAAATCTTACACAATGGCATTTACTGACAATTTACTGTAAATTTCTTCTGTTGTTTCCTGTAAGTCAAATTTGCATGATTGGTTTTTTTTTTTTTTGTTTCATTCCTGTGCTACATCCACGCTGTAGATGGTAGAACTACATAAATTAACCCACACAAACACGTCACTTTCCAATAAATGACTAATTGCAAATACAACAAATACTTCAGTGACTGAGAGCAGTAATTTTTAACCGTTGTCACATACTGAATGGGTTATTGCAAATATTCTGCCACAACTATTTTTGCAGAACAGATTTTGCTTTTAAAAGCAGGTACTTGTCCCATGAAAGCTGGAAATTGGTCTCTGCTCTGAGGATTCTTTCTAATCCCTGCAGATGATGATCGAATACTGCAGTTTTCTGAAACAAAAACAAAACAAAACAAAACAAAAGCAAGCTGTTTGAAACCTTGTGTCTTCTTTTCTTTTTCAGCCTAATTGGAGAAGAGACAGAGATCAAATATGCCACCAGCAACAGCAGCACCAGAGTACCCACCTCCAGATGGAGGTTGGGGATGGGTTGTGGTCTTCGGTGCTTTTATCTCCATTGGATTTTCCTATGCATTCCCTAAAGCCATTACAGTGTTCTTCAAAGAAATACAAGAAATCTTCCACACATCATATAGTGAGATAGCTTGGATATCATCGATAATGTTGGCTGTCATGTATGCAGGAGGTAAGATATTTGTGAAATTTGCAAATTTTTTATTTTTCTAAGGTCTTAAAGTATTTAATTGCTACCTGATTTTATTGTTATTACCTAAAGAATGTACCAAAACACGTGCCTCTTTTCATATCATACTTTATCAGAGACTACTGTTAGACACATCATCATTAAAGTACTTTTTACTTTCTCTTTTAAAGCATTCTATATTCTCTTCCTTTTTGTTTTCCCCTTAGGGCCTTTTGTTTGTTCCTCTACCTAATTCTGTTGTGCAATTTTATCCAAAGTTCAGTTTCTGAGAGTCAACGGTTTCCAACAAATCAATGCCCATGTAACTTCTCCTGGAGCTGTGGGTACATTTGATCAGTTTCCACTGCCTTGGTGAGATCTCTCAGCAGATCAGATGATGGAGCTTAAACACAGAAAATTATAATGGCAATGAGGGTTCATAAGTCAGACACGGATATTCCTCTGTAGAGAGGGGGTTTGTATCTTGTCCCTATTTGCCCTAAAATAAAATTCTACTTTCCGTTTAGGCCAAGAGTGATGTTGGCCTAAATGCCATCTGTATGACAGCGAATGTATAGAAAATATTAGCTTTGGGATGAAAATGAACAGTGAATATAAATTCTCTGATATCTTTTTTTCTTGTGAGAAAGCAAGTAAAGAGCAGGACAGATGAAAAAGGCTTTGAAAGTATAAAGCCATGTTTAAGTACTAAGTGTCAAACCTGCTTTGGCAGGTTTTGTGTCCATCTTATTCTAAGACTGTTAGATTTTGCTTGATTTCTTCATTCTTTCAGATTACTTTTTTTAAGTGTTGGTGGGAGCTAGCTGTTACTTAGGCAAAACACTTTTTCAGGCAAGTTCAGAGGTTTGAATAAGGTTATTTCAGGTAATAGATCTGACATTGCCCTTTCTTTGGACGTTACAAGGTAATCACTTGGAACACCTCAAACTGTTTGCAATGATGAGGCAATTAAATGTATGCATTTATATATGTGTGTGTATGTATATGTACGTATGTATAAATGTGTATACATAGAAACAGAAAATATTGTGCCAATAGCACGAGAGTCAGTATCTTTAGTCACTGAAGAGCACCACTCCAATATTTTTCAGAAATGTTGTCTGTATAATAGTAAAGTACAGTATTACAGGTCCAGTAAACAACCTATTGAAGGAAACATGAAGTCTTGTTTTTATCTTTGATTTCAACCCACCTATTTTTTGACACCTGAATGTCCCTACGTCCTTTAGCAGTCAGGGAAGAGAGGTAAGTGCCTACAGAGAGGAAATCAGGGTACCTAAGTGGTTCTCTCTAAGTAGCAGTTTTTCCCTTCTGACTGTAAAAATGAACCTGCAGCTAGCATAGCATTAGCTTATGCGCCTCAGGTAAATATTTTTCAGTTAATGGGATGGAAAAATGGATCCTTCTTTCAAATGCTGGTGTAGATGGGGACCTTATAAATGCATCTTGACAAGTGATGTCAATATCAACAAAAGCTTGCTGTTCAGATATTTTGATCCCTTTTTTATTCATATACTAGTAGAAAATCATAACTTATTCATATACTAGTAGAGAACCATGCAGGATTTTATAGGACTGGCAACTGTAACTGATTCACCAAAATACACCAGGTGAAGAAGTAGCTTGAATAATGCAATCAAAGTGAAGTAAAACAGCAGGTATGTCCCATCACATTCAGGTCCCCTCTAATGTAGTCGCTTCTGAAGGGTGCAACAGCACTCGCACTGTGGAGTATAGATGTGTAACTGTGGATGCCCCTGAACAAAGGCTGGACCCATCTGAAACAAGGGAAGAACACAAGTGTTGAAAAGCAGGAGTTTGTTTCAGCTTTCCCAATGCTGTGACTTTTGACCTGGACCCTTTTTCACCACTTTTTCAAATGGAAGTTATATTTTCTAAAAGCAGATTTGCATTATAGTGCAGGTACTTTTGTTTTACTCTTTGAATAACATTTAGTTTGTACCATTTCTGTCATCCATTTCTGCCATCATTCTGACATGCGTGTTCACCCAAGTTTTATTAACAGTACAGGTACAAATCATCAAATCATAGAATGGTTGGGGTTGGAAAGGACCTTAAGATCATCTAGTTCTAATCCCCCTGCCATCGGCAGGGGCACGGCACTCTAGACCATGTCGCCCAAGGCACTGTCCAACCTGACCTTGAACACCAGCAGGTATATGGAGCATTCACAACTTCTTGGGCAACCTATTCTAGTGCCTCACCACCCTCACAGTAAAGAACTTCTTCCTTATATCTAACCTGAACTTCCCCTGTTGAAGTTTGAAGCCATTACCCCTTGTCCTATCGCTACAGTCCCCGATGAAGAGTCCCTCCCCAACATCCTTGTAGGCACACTTGATGTACTGGAAGGCTGGACGTTTAGCTGTGGTCGCTTTATCTGTGAGGTTCACTGTGCACAGCTTTTCATGTAAAATACAAAACATTCAGTACTTCTGCCTTTTCTCTAATACTTCTTTTTACTGTTCTGGGTACCAGCATACTAACTTCACATTGACATTAAAAATTACAAAATGATTTATGGTTCATTCTGCTAAAACCTACCCAAGTCACTATGAAGATTATCAGTACAGGAACAGTAGGCAAAGTTGTTTAGGTGTCTTTTTACAGACTTGTGGTTTTAAAATGCTGAGAATGACAACCCTGCCTGATATAAACACTCTTTGAAGCCATAGCTTCTCTAGAACCACTTCCTAAAAAATAGTCCATTTAGACAATCACTGGCAAAATATGAAATAGCAACCAGGAAAAACATTTCTGAAGGAAATAATTCCATTGTTTTTACTGTCTCAAGGTGGTTTGATTTCTTAGCATTTGATGTGCTCTAATGTGAAATACATGTTCAGACCATGAGTACAAGGTGCGTTGTTTACTATGAAGTGAGATTACGTACGCCTGTGACGAACTTTGTTCATCTTACTGCTAATTAAGGTAACCTGAAAACATCTAAGATCTGTCATCCTCATTAGAGTTTAGCATTCAACCTATTAATCATCACAGTGGGGTCAGTGAATAAGTTGGAGTCTGTGCAGACACTCTTTGCTTTGGAGGCTGCAGCCTCTTACAGTAATTAGCTGGCATCTGTGTTTCAGTAACAAGGTATTAACTTACCTTTCAATGCCTGGGAAAAAAAACAAAAACACAAAGCAAAAACCTAATAAAAGGCATCCAGTAAGGAGCTAAAAGAATGTTAATTATGTTTATCACTTACTTCATACTTAGAATAAATGGCATTAAATTATAGCAGACCATCTGGCAATCCATATGGTCTCCTGCAGTCCTGGTTAATTCCAGCAAACAGGTCAAGCACAGCATTCACCTGTTAGGAAAGCACTAGGCAGAGGTGACAAATCTGATAAATCAAATCAATATGGAACTCTTTTCCCCTCTTTATCTGGCATAATATTCACTTTTATACTGGGTTTAGTTATTGGTTTTGTTTAATTTTTTTTTTTGGATGGTTGATTTCTTAAGCTCTCTCTTCTCCCCCCTACATTGCCCCTTATCTCCTGGATAAGAATTTACTAAAAAGCCATCCCAAAAAGCAAGATCCTGTGATATGATCAAGGTTACAGGTATTGCACAGATTCCACTGTTCAGCCCGTGCTTGAAAAAAGCATCCTCTGGAGAAGAGCAATAGTCCAGTCTCCATGGCAACTCCTCTTCTGCCTCTCTTGAGCAGAGACTGTCGATTGGATTAAATTAAGGGTGATGGTTTTGTGATGGGCTCCTGCACCCAAGGGATCATGACTGAGACCACCAAAATTTTGTTACTGGAGGACAGGCACTGGGATAAAATGGAATTATGTGCATTATCCTGACAGGGCAACCTGTGTTTCTGTATGTGTAAGAATATGTACATATAAAACATGTATGCACGTATATATTCTTATGTACACAAACTTTGTATTCACGTACTGATAGAACCATATTTATGCTGTAACACCCACAAGTCTTAAGGAACTCAAGGAAAAGATCAAATACATTTGACCTCAAGTTCTCAGTTCATTCTTCTCCAAAACTGCACCTTTCACTTTGCACAGCATTAACAGCCGCAGGTGACTAGAGAGCTTGTTATCAGACCTTGATCTGTTTCCAGTAAAAATGTTTTCATTGCTTTCAGTATAGGTTTGATAGGAGCCTTAGTGGCAGCTATGAAAGCCATGTGACAGGTCTGGTGATTTCAGACACAGCTGACCTTGAGTTTTAGATTTCCTTAGGGAAAAATCAGTTGGTATACTTGTTGGTCTTGAAGTCTTTTTCTGTCGTTTTTTCAAGGACATTTTCAGGTTTGGGTTTGGTTTCTGCTGTTTTGGGTTTTTTTGTTGTGTTTGTTTTTTTCGTTTGTTTGTTTGTTTTGATGTTGCTTGGGTTTGTTTTTGTTTTTGTTTTTATTTTCCAAAAATAACTTTTTAGATGTGACATTGGGTTATAGAGATTAGCTTGAGACATGATTCTATGATAAATCCTTCAAGCCATACCCATCTGTGAAATGTGGTATAGTCTTGCTGGTCTGAAGTCCAAAAAAAAAAAGGTTTGTTTAAATTCTATATGATATTTCTAAGTAAATCATTTTAAAAGCACCTTTGAAAAGCAACTCTGGAAAGATGCTATGTAAGTGCAAGTAGTGGTCATTACCATTTTTCAAAACACACTTAAAAAATGAAGCATTTAATAACTTCCTCTCTCTTCTTCTGTATTTCTTAAGTTATTCAAGTTTGAGGTTAAGTATTTCCAAAAAGGAGCAAACTCTTAAAGGATTTTTCATGTGACAAGACAAAAATAACCTATAGACAAGTTCTTATTTTGATTTTTCAAATATTAATTTGGAAAATAACATATCATATGGTATGTTCAAAATATTTGTGATTTTATCTCAGTGGGTGTTTCGATGATATTGCTGTGAAGATGAAATGGCGTGCATAGTGGAGATGACAGTTGCGAAATCCATGTAACACAAA